GAGGCACTATGCAACTAATTTCAAGGATTGGTATAGTCTGTTGGGAGCTTTGAAGCCGAACGATGGAAACTTCGTCTACTGTAAAAAGCGAGTATGTCTTTCCCGTAAATGGTTATGCTCTAAATTCCGGGTAGACACGAGGGTGGCTATACGTATGATTATGTGGCTCTGTGCTACTACAGTCCGTTTAATCCATACAATGTTTTCCCATCAACCCCGTTTACACAACTTAATGTACCACGTTGACGAGCACGTGTTTATAAGAGTTCATGAACCTCCATATATTCCACCACACACAACAACACCCATCACTTCTAAACCTCCTCTTCCAAGCATGACCGTTTTGGGGGCGGGAATTTCAGCGACACGCCATGGTGTGCGAGAAGGCCCCTTGATGCCATGCTGCACTCGCACCACCAGGTCACCACCTTGCCCACGACGCACGTTAATGCCTTGGTGTTTCTTGCCCGTGTTTCTACGGGCACAGTGTTGTACAGGGCCTCTGTCAGGCGAGTATACCAGCCCTCCCTGTCGTGAGTGATGCCTCCCACAGATTTTAGCCCCTCTACCGCCAACGTTGCCACATCCGCAGCTCGTGAGGCAAGCCCACGATCCTGGTGTGCGGCAAGTGCTGCAGACGTGGCCCCCGCCAGCCACCTCATCCTGTCCACGCCGGTGGATGCATCCCACATTGCAGAGAGTGTTGCCGCCATTCCCATAGCAAAGAGTAGAGCAGACACGAAGTGTTCGCATGACTCTTACCCATGCCGTTCTCCAGAGACGTCCGCACAATACCCGCGCATACTGCGGTCTGGAAGCGATGGCCCTCTGCGATCAGCTCGTCTGCTTTCCTGTGCACCAGCTGGAAACTACAACGGAATAGACAGCAACAATTGGGGAATCTTAATTAGCGTACGGCCACACATGCATACGTAGGACACTCTATGTCATAATATCATACTCACTGGTCTTGTTTGTATAAATGCAGCTCGTTGACTACACTCCAAACGCCGGTCGGTAGATTGAGAGCCCACTGCAGGTCCAAGTTCCACAACGGGAAACGAGCGGGATTCGTCCATACACCTCCATCTTGATATCGGGGAAGTATACACTTTAGCACAAGGCGGCCGTGACGTTCCTCTCCCAAACAGTAGCATGGGTCCCCAGATTCCGTCTCCTCCCGCCAACGGTCTGCTCCGACGTCCACTTCATACCGTCGCCTCTTCCCCGCTTCCCTAATCCGCTAGCCCTGAACGACCGCTCCACACCCCATCGTTTCCCCAAATTATCTGACACAACGTCTTCTAGTGAGTCGTACACCTCCAACTTCACCCCTTTAATTTCCCGCTCTGCGACGGGAATGTTGTCGTTCGACAAGTCGCTATCAACGATGACCCCCAGTAACTCTCCAGCGCCCTCCAGGTCGCATGCCGCTTCCTCTACTTGTACTACACCGACTGTAACCACCTCTGCGCACCCCGTATAGCCTGGGTCGGCTCCCGCTACTAGACCACGCGTTCTCTTCGGCGATTTCTTTGTGCCCGCTCCATCCTCCCGTCTACGACGTCTCTTCGATCGGATCGGGCGCACCTAGCCTCGGATGTCCTGTGCACAGATGCTTCCACGCGTCCTCCTAACCACACATCCCTTATCTCAGTCCTAACCCTGCAGAGATAACTACTACAACGGGAGCTAGACTACGGGATAGGCACGGGGTGGGAGTGATCGTAGTGTTTGTTTGTTCCTTAGTCGTTTCCAAGTGCTCACACTGCTTGCTAGTTCACGAGGGAAATTGGCAAGAGTTTCACTAGGAAAACATGACAACAAAGGTTCAGAATGATAGCATCAAAGTTGGCATGCAAAACTACATCAGACCTAGCACAGCTGCTAGTCGACCGCCAGCACAGCACGGTCGACCGCGTGCCAGCACGACTTGGTCGACCGCGCTCCAGCAGAGCAAAGTCGCGGCTTGCCAACGTTGCAAGTCCGCGGTGCGCCAACGCTGCAGCAAGTCGGCTGCACAGCGTTGCACCCGCAGGACAACGGTGCACCTGCTTCGCAGGTGCACGCAACTGGTTGGTGCACCACTCCTCGTCACGTGTACAGTGCAGATGCCCAGGTCAACTCCACGGCAGCAACTGCGCCCACCAGCCACGTCGACCTCGGGATACCACCCCCGAGGTCGCCCTCGCATAATCCATCCCGGCGACCTTCGCACACGTCGCCCGGGTATCCCGGTCGACCGGGCAACCATGCCTGATCGACCAGCTTGGTCGGTTGCCGACTGCGCAAGCCCGGCGTCCCCAATGGTCGGCGCCCTCCACCTTGGCGCCACGGCTTTCGGCGCCTGGCTGTTCGGCGTTCTGCTACTCGACGCCCTCCTCCAGCCCGGCGTCCCCAGACTCCCCTGCCAAGGTCGACGTCGGCTCCCCCCTTCGTCGACCACCAAATCTGGTCGACAACTCTCCTGTCAGCCGGCCTCCCAAGTCGGCTGCCTCCAAGTCGGCGTCATCGAGTCGTCGCCTGCGCACGTCGACCTTGCCAGGTCGACCTCCCAAAGTCGGCGCCCTTGCAGTGGCCCCCGTGCAGGTCGACCAACCTCGTCGACCAGCTCGCCCACTGCTGCAGGTCGGCTGCTCCCCTTACACCCGACCACTAAGTCGGCTCCGCCCAAGCGAGGACGGAGCCACACCCAACTCCCATTGACAAACCCTACCCACACCCTCCGCCGTCTCCGGTGCCCTCGTCGATCCCATTTTCGTCAGCCCAGGCCGCAGCTCATCTTCCAACATCTCCTCCTCCATCTCCCTCGCCAGCTTCATCCTCTCAGCCTCTATTGCGTTCCTCTCTTCCTCCCGCTGCCGCTGCCGACGCTCCATCTCACGTCGCTCCTCCTCCGTCTCTTGTTCAAGACGCCTCCGATTTTCCGTAGCCCTGGCTAGCGCAGTTGCCCTTTCAGCTTGCCTGTTATCCCTACTCTGTCTGGATAACAATGTTGTCTCTCCTACATGGCCTCGCTCTCCATTCGCTCTTTCCCGCCTGCCTTGCGCTTCAAACTCTGCAGCCCGGACCCGCGCGGCATAAGCAGATTGCTCCTGTTGCAGCCTGTCCGCCTCCTCTGCACGCCTCCGTTCGTTTTCCTCTGCCCGCCGCCATTCTCCCTCCTCTCGCTCCTTCCTCGCCCTCTCTTCGGCCTCTGACCGCCTCTTAGCTGCCTGCTCTAGCTCTACCCTTACCCTTTCCGCCTCCCTAAGCTCCAACACCTTCTCTTTCCGTGCCTTTCTTGCCACCGCTGCTTTCCTTTTAGTCTCATTAACCACTCCCGGCTCCACATTCTGCCATATACCCTTGCCTACCTCACTCTGCACTACTCACCTCCACCTTCTGCATGCCGATTCACATGATCACCTTCGCCATCACCAGCCAACCATCTGTTGACAACACGCGCAGCTTCCACCTCGTCATGATTGGGGGACACCGCAGGTGCTGCATCGGCTTGGCGCAAGGTGAGCGCTTCCGCTCGTAACACCTCGCTCAGCCTCTACTCTACTGTCCGCTCGATGCCCTTCTTGATGTCATCTACTGCCTGCCGCAGCCCCTTGCCTACCGAACGCCGCAACTCTACCAATGCAGAATCCACAGCCGCTCTGACATGCGCCACAATCGAACTCTCCATTTGCGCCGTTTCACAACGTACCGCCGTCTTTGCCACACCCTGAATGCGCTCTTCCATCCCCTCTAGCAGGGTGAGTATCCGTTTTCTCTCCTCCGCCGCCACTGCCGCCTCATCTAACCAGACGGTATTGGCATGGTCGAACTCGGGTAGCATACCCAGTGAGTCCTGGTAATAGTGCTCAAGCCATTCCACGTGGTTGTTGACCATGTTTCGGAGGTCTTGTGATACGTTTGAAATCCGTGTTGATTGTTCTGACGACGTTGTTGCCAGAGCACGCCCGATCAGTGTCAACCGCCTTAGCACCTCTATGGGGGTCAGATTGAATGTCCCCTCCTCGACGAAGCCATCCGCAGTCTCCACCATAACGGGAGATGCTTCCCCCATAATATGACGCAGTGCGGCCTCTGCTTCGTCCCATTCTCGGTCCCTCATTAAAGTTGTAGCATCTGCTCTCTCCCGTCCTCGCACAGTCTCGTTAGACGCAGTATGCCTTACCTCCCTTTCCTCCCTCTCCCTCTCAAGTTGCAACTCTAGCCCCCTCTGTTGGTCCAGGACAGCCTGACGCATAGTTTCAATCCTCTGTCGCGCATTCTCCCTAGTCTCTACGACTGCTCCACATCGACGTCGTTCCGTAACTCCTCAATACCAAACTCGCCCCTGTTATGCCGCTGTCCAATTACCACTACCATATCAAGTTGTAGCATCTGCTCTCTCCCGTTCTCGCACAGTCTCGTTAGACGCAGCATGCCTTACCTCCCTTTCCTCCCTCTCCCTCTCCAGTTGCAACTCTAGCCCCCTCTGTTGGTCCATGACAGCCTGACGCATAGTTTCAATCCTCTGTCGTGGATTCTCCCTAGTCTCTACGACTTGCTCCACATCGCCGTCGTTCCGTAGCTCCTCAATACCAAACTCACCCCTGTTACACCGCTGTCCAATTACCACTACCATATCAACTCGCGCCCTCACATCCTCCTCCCCCCCTATGCGGCCGTGTTCTCCGCGCCGCCCTATCCGATCGCCCTATCCGATGATCCCGCCTCATGTCCGCTTCCGGTATACGCCGGCTTCCACCTCTGGTGCCTCCTTGATCTCGTGATACTGCCTCTTCCCCGGCGGGTATCTCGTCATCCATGCGGTACGCATCTCACCTCAAGCTCCTAAGTCTGTCCGTAAATGCAAGCATCCCTTCCCTGTCTTCTCCGTTCTCTCTGAAAATCCTAAATTGCTCGACATCATCCATCCGCGCATCATTCCCCCGACCCCCTTGCTCTGCAGGCGCCCTCCCCAGCGCCATCTCCTCGGCCTCCCTCCTCGCCTCCTCTTCCTAACGCTTCGCCTCTGCCGCTTCCCTCCCCTTCCGCGCCTTCTCGTCGGCCTCTCTCCACGCCTCCTCTTCCACACGCTTCGCCTCTGGCGCTTCCCTCTCTTTCCGCGCCTTCTCCTCGGCCTCCCTCCTCGCTTCCTCTTCCACACGCTTCGCCTCTGCCGCTTCCCTCTCCTTCCGCGCCTTCTCCTCGGCCTCCCTCATCGCCTCCTCTTCCACACGCTTTGCCTCTGCTGCTTCCCTCTCTTTCCGCGCCTTCTCCTCGGCCTCCCTCATCGCCTCCTCTTCCACACGCTTCGCCTCTGCCGCTTCCCTCTTCTTTCGCGCCTTCTCCTCGGCCTCTCTCCTCGCCTCCTCTTCCACACGCTTCGCCTCTGCCGCTTCCCTCTCTTTCCGCGCCTTCTCCTCGGCCTCCCTCATCGCCTCCTCTTCCACACGCTTCGCCTCTGCTGCTTCCCTCTCTTTCCGCGCCCTCCGTGCCTCCTCTTCCACACGCTTCGCCTCTGTCACTTTCCTCTCCTTCCGCGCCTTCTCCTCGGCCTCCCTCCTTGCCTCCTCTTCCACACGCTTCGCCTCTACCGCTTCCCTCTCCTTCCGCGCCTTCTCCTCGGCCTCCCTCCTCGCCTCCTCTTCCACACGCTTCGCCTCTGCCGCTTCCCTCTCTTTCCGCGCCACCTCCTCGGCCACCCTCCTCGCCTCCTCTTCCACACGTTTCGCCTCTGCCGCTTCCCTCTCTTTCCGCGCCTTCTCCTTGGCCACCCTCCGTGCCTCCTCTTCCACACGCTTCGCCTCTGCCGCTTCCCTCTCTTTTCGCGCCTTATCCTTGGTCACCCTCCGTGCATCCTCTTCCACACGCTTCGCCTCTGCCGCTTCCCTCTCCTTCCGTGCCTTCTCCTCGGCCTCTGTCCTTGCCTCCTCTTCCACACGCTTCTCCTCTGCGGCCGCCCTCTCTTCCGGCGATTCCTCTACAGCATTGCTTTGCATCTCTACCTTACGCGCATTCTCTTTTGCCGCTCCCTCTCCCCGCATCTCCTGTGCTTCCAACGTTCGCTTCCGGACCCTAGGCAACCTTGCTTTCCGGTAACTGGATTCAGCCTCAGAGACCTCCATGCGTGCGCACTCCTGCACGCGCAACCTGCCAGCCTCTTCGTCTCCAAGAGGTTGTTGTGGCAAACGTACTCTACGGGTGTAGGTCACTTCCTCAATCCGTGCATTCTCCAGCGTCGCACGAGCATCCCGTCGGGCGCCAACCACCACTCCCTCCATCCTTTCCTGGATCTCTACAGCAGAGCTGTGCTCGGAGCCTTCTCCACCCCCCCCAATATCCCTGGACGAACCCTGGCGCGACGCCTGCACTTCACCCTCGGACTCCTGCTCCTCGTCATCCCTCTCTTCTTCATCTGCCCCTTCTACAGCCTCCTCGGTGTCAGCCTCATCCTCCTCGTCCTCCAACTCAAGCTCCTCGTCGGAGTCCAGTGGCTCGACCGAATCAATGGTCCTCACGTTCCCCTCGTCAACGGTATCGAAGAATGCCCTGATATTCGTAACAAGAAAGTTTTTCATATCCTGCCGCGAGTTCTTGCCAACGCCCAAAGGAAGCATCTTGTCCTCGTTTGGAAGGGAGAAAAGGTCCCCCCACTTGTCAATAAGCTTGCTGAAGAGGTGTGTCACACGAAGTCCTTGATTATCTGCATCGAATAGCAGGAAGCATGCTCGTTCATCATATAAGATAAAACCTAATACGGTCATTGAACTGAAGCAGCATGTGAAGTCCTTACCGAACCAGTCTGCAACTTCAGCCCATCGAGGCGCCCCCTCAAGGCGCGTAGCACCTGATGACGGTGGGGGTTTTCAGGCCGGCAACCCCTACTGTACTCTATTGTTAGCTGTTGTTTAAGCAACCTGCTCAGAACACAATTATGTCAGCAAGCAGTTGCAAGCCATGAGAGAGTTGCGTGCGATTCATGTCAAACTTGCTGGAAAACCTCGCTGGCCAACCAGCCGTGGCTGTGTGATAGAACGCGTGACTTCTGTCAGAATGTTATTATCTAGCCTGTAGTGGGGTGCTCTATAGCGGGTACAACCCAGTTAGGGTTTGCTATATGTATCCCAACTGCTGCTAGTGAAACCCCTCTTTTGCCTATTCTCTCTTGCCTAGCTAGGTAAACCCTAGCTATGGCTCTTTCATACTAGCTACTATTTTAACATGCTATCAGAGCGGTTACGCTCCTGGCCTGTGGGCCCGCCTGCTTCCGCTGCCTTCCTGTGTGTCGCGCGTCCCGTGGCGCGCGATGTTCGTTTTTTCTTCCCGCCGCGCGCCCCGAGCGCGCGGCGGTTTTCTGCCCGCCGTGGCCCCGAGGCGCGCGGCGGTTTCCTCCCTCGTGTGTAACCCCGGGGACCCGCGCTTCCCCCCCTCCCGTCGACCGCCCCGTCGCCCGTCGAAGCGCCCCCCGTCGCCCGTCGAAGCGCCCCCCGTCGCCCGTCACGGAGCCCGCGGACCCGCGCGTCGCCCCCCGTCGCCCGACGCGGCCCGCGCGACCTGCGCCAGGCCCGCGCGCGGCCCGTGCGGGCTGCGCCAGACCCGCGCGCGGCCCGTACGGGCTGCGCCAGGCCCGCGCGCGGCCCGTACGGGCTGCGCCAGGCCCGCGCGCGGCCCGGGCAGCCTGCCCCAGTGCCGCACGCGGTCTCCCGAGCCGTCCCCCACGCCGTCCCCCGTGCTCCTGCCCCGTGTCACCCGTTTTATGGTTTTGGGGTGGCGAGTGTGGGGGTGGCGGTTATGGGGGTGCAGGGTGTGTGCGTGTGCGCCGTCCCCTACTCCTCCTCCTCCTCCGTCTCCCACTGCTGCAGCTGTCGCTGAGGGGGGTGGGTGTGTGGGAGCCGAGGGTTTAGGGTTTAAGGGGGGTGCCGTGGGAGTGGAGCTAGGGGTTCAGCAGGGGGTGTGTGTCAAGGGTGTGGGTCAGTTGGAGGAGGTTGTGTGGAGGTAGCTGTCGTGTCGCCTGCAGCGCCTGTAGTCCGTCGCCCTTGCTTCGGTAGCCAGTGAGCCTGTTGCACCAGTCGCCAGTGGGTCCGTTGCTCCTGCCGCTCGTCTTAGCCGCGGAGCCAGTCACTCCAGTAGTCCGTCGCCCTTGCTTCGATAGCCACTAATTCAGCCGCTCCTGTGCCCGTGCCTCTGCAGCTTCAGTCGTTGCCTCCCATCTTCTCTCCTTCCACAGTTCCTCCTCCTCCTCACTTGCCCGCTGTGATTACCTCTAGCTTTGCTTATTATTGTGAACTCTTGCTATACCTGCTCATTGTGCTGATTACACCCCACTTTGGCTATGGGGGTGTGTCAGAATGTTATTATCTAGCCTGTAGTGGGGTGCTCTATAGCGGGTACAACCCAGTTAGGGTTTGCTATATGTATCCCAACTGCTGCTAGTGAAACCCCTCTTTTGCCTATTCTCTCTTGCCTAGCTAGGTAAACCCTAGCTATGGCTCTTTCATACTAGCTACTATTTTAACAACTTCGGATCGAAGTGGAGAACGCGCGTCCAGTAATCCTTGCTATGAGTTCGTACCAGATCGTCGGGGCGTAGAAGAACAACGAGGCTAATCCTCGTTGCGGGTGGCATGTTGATCCTGCGCAACACGAAACAGCTATTTAGGAATGTGGAGACTAGTGGCAGACGCACGTTCCCAAGCCCATGCCACAAATTTCTCACGGCGTGATGAGCGGGAACAACACAATCTGGTAGTCGAGTGGCGTCCGATTTCCAGAGAAGCTAAAGGGCTCCATGGGGTGTCCTGCTTCTCATCTCTTGAAGCTGAGAGGGTGGCACAATCATTATCCACCGACGCTCTCTGATCTTCAGCTTCGTCCGCGCCACTTCCCTGTGCAACATACCAAAACCACATATCTGCACCATGTCGCCTTATGTACGATACTGGCTGATAATGTGTGGTCGAATACATCAGTGATTCTCGCATTGAAACACACAATCAACCCTCTTACTGCAGAGTGAAGAAGAGCATAGCCTCGTTCCATTCGCGCTCACGCGAGCACCACGCCATATACGACTCCTTAGCGAGGCGAACACGAACCCCGCAGCCTTGCGACAACATGTGTGCAGACATCGTCAGTTCTACTATTGGATACTCGGTGTGCAAAATCGCAGAGCATGCAACACGATGGTCCCCGACTGCATCTTTCTTGCATATGTATGCTACGGAGGTAGGATAAAGCTGGGTTTGGTGATGGAATCAACCACACCTAACTTCAAGACTGGTTTGAGGCTGACTAAGGGTGAGGGCAATCGTATAAGCCTGCAAATAAACCCGGTGCTAGCATAAGAAGAATATGAACTGTTGTCAGGCCCTTGAACTCTCCAAACCCCATCAGCGGCGCACTCAAGTATTAGGTCGTATTCTCCGAACCTGAGTTTCACTGTGTTGCGATATATTCGTGCGCAGGGTACAAAGTACATATCACCAACCAGGGTGCGGTTGGCGTACCTGGTTATTCCGATCACCTCGCTTTCCTGGGTTTGGACCCCGTCCAAAAACATAAACTAAATGCTTCCACGGTTGACGAGAATATCGTCAAGTTATGCTACCTGGATGACACGTGTGTTTCGATGATTAATTTGGACGAATGAGGTAACAGCATGTAGCATCATAATCCACAACGCATCTGCGTGGCCTGTAGAGACGGGGTTTCTGCACGCCAAGTGCTGAAACCACGTCTGTCAGACAGCTGTCAGTGAAGGCATTTCGCCTGTATTCCCGCCATCTCTGCACCAATTCGCCATAGATGTTGCTTCGCTTACCTAACGGTTCGATTAGTGCCACTTGCTATGTTGCTAAAATCAGAGTACACTCATCCCTTTGTTATGCTTCTGCAATGCATCGGAAAACATATTTACATTATGTGTGAGTATAATGTCATGCACTCCTAAGTATCATCGGCAACCATAACAGCCTTCATGTTCCGTAACAGGAACTATATTCGGCCCGCAGACTCCGTAGAATCCAGGCCAGCATAGTGGCAACATCCGAGGCAGACGCTAGATAAATCTTTCACAACTATACAGGGTTCACCCCATACGTCCGACTCATGTGTTCTCCTTACCATCCGCACTTGCGTTCTCCCACGCTCCACGTTTTGCCATGACAATTCCGATCCCTACACCATGCTGGTCTTGGAGGCCCTTGGATGCCATGCAGCATTGGCACCAATATGTGATCGCTCTAGCCACCACTCTAGTCATTGTCTTCGTTGCCTCGTCGCGAGTGTCGGGGTGCAGCTTGTCTAAGAGGGCGCCTGCAAGGACTGGGACCCAACTCTCCTTGTCTAAAACTCTCCCATTGACAGCCCTTAACACCTCTACCACGACACCTGCCACTTCAGCTGCTCTTGCGGCAATCTTCCGGTCTAGGTGTGTTGCAAGTGCCTCCGTATGTGCATCCGTCTTCCACTGCGCCTCCGCAGCATGGGTGGAGACATCCCACATCACCGACATAGTTGCCAACAGCCCAACCGCATGCTCTAGTACAGAGTGCCCCTCTTCACCCGTAACACCGCCAAGGTCCTTCAGGAGAGCAGCGCGCGCGACCCCCGCGCAAAGCGCAGTCTGGTAGCTATCCTTCTCTTGTATCCACTCGCGCGTCTCTTTCCGCACGATGAGGAAGCTGCATAGAAGTAGATTGGAGCATGTTCCATTATACGAACGTTGGTATAGTGATACATGTGCGGAAAGTCGTATAGTTGATATAACTTACTTTCCGAGTTTGTCGAGGTGTAGCTTGTTGATGACGCTCCACACGCCTGTTGGCATGTTGGCCGTGAACAGCAAGTTCTTCTCCCACAGCTCGAACCGCAGGGGATTCATCCCGTATGCCGCGAGGTCGACGTTGGGGAAGTATACCTTCCAACAAATGGCGACGGTTAGGTTCCTCTCCCATACCTGGTTGTGCTGTCCCATAAACCTCTTCCTCCCCCCCAGTGTCTGCTCTGAAGTTCACTTAAGCACCCCTCCGCTCACCCGTTTGGAGTATCCACATGCTTTAAACGTCAGCTGCACACCTCTCCTCTTTCCCAAAATATCCACCCCTTCCTGGGTTTGGTCTTGTGTCTTTTTTATCTTCACCCCTTTTATCTCTGACTCTGTGATTTCAATGTCTTCATGCCTAGGCAGCTTCTTTGTATGAGACCCCTCCACCCGCCCCTCCGACGCACGTCCATCGATGCCCATTTGCTCAGGAGCATTACACCAGTGCCAGCCTGAGTGACGGCCTCGTCTACCCGCTGCCTCTTTGCCCGCGATCCGGTCGCAGCTTCTTCCTCGAGACGGACTCCTTCCCCTACACCTCTTGTTGCAAGTGGTGGTGACGATACTACAGCGTGTCCTCCTGCTGCAACTTCACACGCCGCAAGCACTACCCTTCCTAGGCGTCCCATATGATCCGCCCCTCCGGTCGCGTATTCTGCAGCCACTAATCAGACCGACCTCCTCTACGGCCCTTAGACTCGCCAGTTGCTCATCGCATGCCTTCCTCGTTGCTTCCCGTTCACGCTTTCGGCTTTCGTATTCATTCCGTTCACGCTGCTCCTCTTCTAACCGCTGCCTCTCCTCGTCGTACTTCTTCAGCACCGCCACCCTCTCCGCACGCTTATCCGTGTTCTTATGGCCCCCCTGTTCTACCGGACCCTGGGGTATCGTCTGCCCTACGGCGACGTCCGCTTTTGACCTGTCCTTGGCATTTTGTTGCTGCCCCTTCTGCCGGCCAAGGCCTCTTTCCGTGCTCCGCGCTTATGCCTTCGCGTCCTCCTCTTAACCATCGATGTTCTCGGGATTCTTGTCCCTCTGCACCCTAGTGTCGTTCGAACTAGTCCCACCACCCTTCCCACCTGCGGCCGCCCATCCAAACTCCCCATATCACCAGCCTTCGCCGTTGGCTGTGCACGAAGATCTGCCTGTGCGACGCCACTCTGATGCATTGGTGTCACCTTCCCAGCCGCGGTCAAAGGCTGATGGGAGTCCTTTTGCAGACCAGCACGCGCAAGCACCATTTCTACCCTCTCCTCTACCATCCGAGCAATGTTGGCTGTTAGATCCTCCCGTGCCAGGTGTAGCCCTGCCAGTGCAGATTCCAATGCCACTTTGATGCTGTGCTCTAAAACCCGCTGAAGCTGCGATGTCTCCCGTCTCACAACAGACCTAGTCGTGACAAGGATGCGATTCTGATACGGTATAGTGCTCGTCTGTGCTCCATCTTGTCCCTACCCCCCTCCTTGTTGATGCCATCTTCGCGCGAAGAGCCCTGACGCCTCCCTGACGATTGACCCCGATGCAGATCAGAGCCACCTCCTGCACGTTCTACCCCATGTTCTGCATACAAGTGCCGGCCTCCGGGACTATGCTCTCCGCCTTTCTTTACGCCAGGGTTTACTGGACCAGGATGATTGGCGCGCTGCGCCTCAGCGGCATCAGGACGTTGTGCAGCTTTCTTGGGGTCACGCATGGAGTCTCCTTCAACCCGCGTACACTTCGCAGCTGCCTCCAATCGCACAGCCTCAACAGCTTCCGTGTCGGCGGACTTGCGAACACTAACCCGCATCTGATTGGTGTCCGACTCTGCTCTCGCCATCGGACCGACTTTAGGCTCCACCATATTGCGTGCAACTTCGACGGCACTATCCCCCGTATCGTTCTCCCGCGCCATGTTATGAACACTCCCCCCTGCATCCGTCTGTGCCGCAGCGACCGGTCGCTTCGGATTTTATTCTGGCGTGCACGTTTCATGGCCACCCTCTGCTCCACTGCGAGGTTGCTGTTCGGCCGCCTGGTTTGAACCGCGTTCCCCCCCCCCCCCCCCCCCCCCCTCTATCCGGCGTGGACTCTGCAACCGGGTTCCCTACACCGTGGTCGGTAGCTGACACTCCGCCACTGCCCTCCACCTGATTCTGTGACTGACCTACATCCCGATCCGGGCATGGTTGATCCTGCCTAGGCCGATCATCCGTCACGATCTGGTTGTCCTGCTTCTCCTCCACACGCTTATATTCTGCCCGGCCCACTACCTTTTGCGCACCCTCTACCACCGTCTCCTTCACTGTCTCATCTACACGGTTCTCTTCGGACCGCCCAACTGCTTCTCGCGGCGCATCCACCACCACCTCCTTCTCCAGCTCCTCTACATCCCTCTCATCGTCCATCGCAGTTGCATCACTAGCCGATGTCTCATCTACCATGCCACTAGCCTCCCCGTCCCCGTCGTCGTTGGACTCCTCCGACTCTGAAGACCTTAAATCCTCCCCCGACTCCGAGTCGACCTCAAACGGCAGTTGCATCGGGGTGCCGGTGGCAAATTTGTAAAAAACATCCGAACACGAGCTCGCCAGACACTCTTGTATGTCGTCTCTAGAATTGTTGACGTGTCCTAGGTTGACAAACTTAGTGTTGTGAAGGAGAGACAAGACCTTATCCCACAGGTCACAGTTTGCCCAAATGAAACGCTACCTGCAGGCCGGATCCAACGAGCTTCTATCCCTCCACGTTTCCAACATGCTTTATCAATTCTTTCCCGGATAGTCGACGATGCTATTATATTGATACCCTCCCGCGTTGCCTCGTTGCGCAACATGCCCTTCGTTATTTGCCTGTCGATGAACAAGAATAAGCAAGGGTGAGCGACGTGCATGAACGTCATGTTTCGAGAGATTAGCATTGGCGGATACGAATCATGCGCATCACGCGTGATCTAAACTATATGGCAGATTGTGTGCACGCATGTGCTAAGCTGCACACTAGACCTTTTGTACTCACACAAACGCGTAATTCAGCATCGCCTCGCTCCATTCCTTCTTCTTGCTGCTGAAGGCATGGAACGAAGTCCGTGAGAGTGTAACGCGGAGGCCACATCCTCTAACCTCTAGTATTGCGCTCATATTTTCCAAAGTGATGCACGGATGTATGGAACGTAGTGTCCTACAGGAAGGGCAGCGGCTGCTCGCAAACGGAGGGCGTTCGAATGTTATTTTGTCTCTAGCAACAGTAATCTACACATGGGCGTTGCTCAGACGGGCGCGGTGGAGATTCAACATGGGACTTTGCAAACATAACCAGAGGTGTCGGATGATTTAGGTGCTAAAGCGCTGAGAATACGGAACAATGAAGTAGCTATGAGAGGCACGCGCTCCATAAGGTGAATATAGGCCTGAGCGGAATAGCCTGGTATACTAAAAAGATGGACAGGTGAGCTATTCGTGCCTTTCCTTGGAAACCGGTTCAATACGTCTTTGGTGAGGTTGTAGAGTTGGCCGGATCGCGTGTCCCATAATCGTGAATGGAGGTTGATTTTCACGGAGCATGCATCCACGCATGGTTAACTGTCTGACACGTGGTTCACGAGATTGGTATACGCGTCATGTCATTTGCTGTCACGCTGTGTCTAATCTACATCACGCGATGACGATCTCATAGACCAATCCTAATACTCTCGGAATTCACGCAATAAGACTGTATAACGTGTGCAAGGGCTGCCGCAAAAAAAATAAAACCCCACAACGGTGCCACATATTTTTGCAGAGACAGGCAACGCAGCGCATGCGTGGTGGCTGGAGGGGAGATCAGGAGGTGAAAATACAATCAAACGTCGTCCAAAAGGCATGAAACCTTTTGAGCCGGCTGCTTAAGATGCAAGGAGGCTCCCCACCGAAAATGAGATGGTTTGGAGGACGTTTGGCAGGTTTTCCACAAGGAGGTGCAGAGACAGGCAACGCAGCGCATTCGTGGTGGCTGGAGGGGGGGGCAAAGAGATGAAAATACAATCAAACGTAGGTCAAATAGCATGAAACTTGGTGAGCCGACTGCCTAAGATGCAAGGAGGCTTCCCACAAAAAATGAGATGGTTTGGAGGACGTTTGAAAGGTTTTCCACAAGGAGATGCAGATACAGGCAACACAGCGCGTACGTGGTGGCTGGAGGGGAGAGCAGGAGGTGAAAATACAATCAAACGTCGTTCAAAATGCTTGAATCTTGGTGAGCCGACTGCCTAAGATGCAAGGAGGTTTGGAGATGGTTTGGGGGATGTGGTAGGCTTTCCACTAGGAGATGAAGAGACAGGCAACGCAGCGCATGCGTGGTGGCTAGAGGGGAGATCACTTAGGTGAAAATACAATCAAACGTCGGTCAAATGGCATGAAACTTGGTGAGACGACTGCCAAAGATGCAAGGAGGCTCCCCACCAAGAATGAGATGGTTTGGAGGACGTTAAGCAGGTTTTCTACAAGGAGATGCATATACAGGCAATGTTGATATCTGGAGGGGAGAACTCTCAAAGTAGGAACACAACGGAATGTGTGAACTGGGGAAAGAAGGGATACAAATAGCAACCCTAAAACTGTTGTACTCCCTAGTGTGCTACTCACTGTAGCCTAAGAACCTATAATAACATTTGACACACCCCCATAGGCTAAGTGAGGGGCATCAAAGCAAGCAGGGTGAACAAACGGTCACAAGACCAGTCAATGCAAGAAGCAAAGCAAGCTCAGGGTGGATCTCAAGGACACCACACAAATTCCGAGCACAAGCAAGTGGCCACAAGGCCAGTTCAAGAGTTCACTAGGATATATATAGCAAAGCACAACAAGCAGAGCAAATAGCAAGTCCACAGCAACCGAGGGTCACCAGGCGTCAAGGCCTTGGTAAAGACGTTGGCCTCTGAGGCCACAAAGTCTAGGCTTGCCTGGCCGCGTTGCTACAACTCTCTCAGGAGGAAGTACCTCACGTGAATATGCTTCACTCTGCTCTCTAGTCAAGGCTCTCGACACAGGAGGATCCTGGCCTCGTTGTCAGCGTACAAGGTCGGTGCAGAGCGAGGCTGCTCACCAAGGTCGGCGAGCAAGAAGGTCAACCAGCGAAGCTCCTGTGCCGCCATGGCACCAGCGTAGATCTCTGCCTCTGCACTGGACGTAGCCACAGACGACGACCGTGTAGACCTCCACGACACGGCACCAGCACCCAGACTGAAACAGTAACACTGAGTCGAATGCTGGGTCTCCACGTCGTCAGCGTAGGAAGAGTCGCAGTGACCAATCAACTCAACTGGCCGAGTCCCTCCAAGCACAAGCCCCATGCCTGATGTAGTCGCCAGGTACTTCGCCACCCTCACAGCAGCTGTCCAGTGAACAGGACGGTGTCTCCCAGTCGCAACAAAGCGAGAGATGACGCTGAGGGGAAAGGCGAGTTCCGGCTGAGTACAAGTCATCAGGTACATGAGGCAGCCCACAAGCTCTACGTAGAACTCAAAGGGCGCGTCCGGGAAGGGGCCGGTGAGTATGTGGTCCACATCAAGAGGAGTGGGCTGTGTGGTGGAGAACTGAACCCCGAACCGCCGAAGGACCTGCTGCACCATGTGTGACTGAGTCAGTGTGATGGTGCGAGCGGCTCTGTCCCTGGTGATCTGCAGGCCAAGGTAGCGCTGCAGCTCACCGAGGTCAGTGCACGTGTGTCTCTTCTGCAATTCGGATTTCACCTCCGCCAGTGCTGCCCTGTCAGCTGTAGCAAACACCAGGTCGTCGATATAGATCAGGATAAAGAAGGGAGTGGAGCCAGTGCGAACAAACAGTGACGGGTCAGCAGAGGAGGGACGAAACCCTAGGTCACGAAGCGTGGAGCGAAGAGTGTCGTGCCACTCACGGGGCGACTGGCGGAGACCGTAGACTGGCCGTCTCAAGCTCCACTGAGTCCCAGTTGGGAAGGTGTCAGTGAAACCAGGAGGACGGCGCAGCCAGATCTCCTCGTGTAGGCGGCCCTGGAGGAAGGCAGTGGAGAAGTCAAGAGAGTGCAGCTCGTAGTCTTGCTGTGCTGCTATGTGGAGTAACACCCGAAGAGTAGTCATCTTCGGGGTCGGGGCGAAGGTCTGGAAGAAGTCAACTCCCTCACGCTGACTGAAGCCCCTAGCCACGTAACACGCCTTGAACGCAGGCGGGGATCGAGGCGGACGCTTCACCTTGAAGAGCCACATGCCATCGACAACGTTCGCTCCGGGAGGCGGAACAGCGTCGACGTAGGTGCCTGTGGATCTCCAAGAAGCCAATTCTGAGTCCATGGCCGCTTTCCACTGTGAGGCCCACTCCATTGACACTGCCTCTCGGAAAGTGCGAGGAGTCGGTATGTCAAGGGCGTCGGGGTCTCCCTCAGGGGAAAGTAGCATGGCATAGAGAGAGGGGGAAGCAGCTGCCAAGAACTCCAGCTCAAACTGCCTGTCCTCTAGGACGTCACAGCCAAGGGCAAACCCACCCTCGGCGGCCTCAGGACGGGTAGGTGGTGCAGCTACGACACGGGTGGCAAAGTCAAGGCGGCGGGTGGACGCAAAGGCAGTGACAACGGCACTGAGAGCGGAGACAGACGACGGAGAGGCACGAGGGTCGGTGACAAGAGAGGTGAGAACACGCGAGACAACAGGACGCACTGTACGGTAGTAGTCAGTGATAGGGGAAGAGAGGGAGGCTGTAAGAGCCGACTCAGGAGGTGAAGGGAGAACATACACAGGAGTAGCACGACGAGGACTGGAACGAAACAAGGCGGTGCGGAGGTCGGCAAGAGGAGACGATGGACGAGCACGCGGGGGACAGCGAGCGGTCCAGTCGTGCAGGACAACAGGAGGAGGTAACTGTGACTAGGGAGGAGGGAAAACAGGCGGAGATGAGTCCGGAAGAGGAAATGTAGGACCGTTAGTGGGCAGTGATTGCGGGTGGACAGGAGGAGGGGAGGGAAGACCAAGGGCTTGAAGGCCACTCACTGGTGTGACCACGGGCTGCGGTGGTTGTTGCTGCCGCGGCTGCTGCTGCTGCTGCTGCTGCGGCGGCGGCGGCTGCTGCTGCTGCTGCTGCTGCTGCTGCTGCTGCTGCTGCTGCTGCTGCTGCTGCTGCTACTGCTGTTGCTGCTATTGCTGCTGGTGCTGCTGCTGCGCTGCTGCTGCTGCTGCTGCTGCTGCTGCTGCTGCTGCTGCTGCTGTTGCTGTTGCTGCTGCTCCAGTAGGTCCAACTGCCGCAACTCCTGTCGCTCCCGGGAGACCTCGACAGGGGTACCAGGTATAGTAGGACACCGAATCGACGAAATGGACGTCACGGGAGTCTAGGAGCTGGTGGAGAGGTGGGTGGTAAAAGGACCAGTCGGCTGAGGCTACCGGGAAACCAAGGAAGACACAGGGGATGGCGCGAGCCGAGAGCTTGTCCGCAGAGGTGTCGCGGACAAGCGCAAGGCAGCCCCAGACACGAAAGGCTGACCCAACACCAGGGGACCCGGTCCAAAGACTGGTCGGTGAAGCCTCTGGCCGCGAGACGCG